CAGATTCTTGGGAAACTGGAACCAATTCTGGAGCAACAAGCCCCTATTGAAAAGGGACAGGCTGCACCTCAACAGCAATGGGATCGATATCCTTCTGGGGACTTTCAATAATGTGGTATGAGAGGATTTAACCCATGATGTTACCCGGGCTGGAGAGTTTCAGTCATGGAGAGGTTGGCCAGATTGGTGTTGTTTTCCTTAGAGCAGAAGAGATTGAGAGAGGACATGATTAGGATGTATGACATTGCGGGGCATTGAAAGGGTTGACAGGAATAAACTTTCCCCTTGAAGTGATCAGTGACCTGAAAGTATAGGTAGAAGGTTTAGAGGATATGTTATCACCCAGAGAATGGTGGGAATATAGAGTTCACTGCCTGTTAAGGCAGAAACCTTCAAAACATTTATGAAGTATTTAGATGTGCACTTGTGATGCTGGGGAGTAGAAGGCTACGGGCCCAGTGCTGGAAAATGAAATTAGAATAGTTAGTGGCTGTTTTTGACCAACGTGGTCATGATAAGCCAAATGGCTTTTTTCTGTGCTATAAATCTGTATCTGTGACTGTGAGGGAGCAATTGCATTGCTTGATATTATCCACAGACCACCAACTACTGAGAAAAATGGTGAGGAGCAAATTTGCAAAGAAACTGCGGAACGAAGTAAGAATATATAGAGGATGGGAGACTTTCACAGTCTTGATTTAGACTGGGATAGTAGTCATAATATAAAGAGCAGAGAGAAGCAAGATTTCCTAGACTATGTACAGGAGAATTTTTGACAGTTTCCAATCCAACAAAAAAGAGACATTGCTGGACCTAGTTCTTGAGAATGAAGTGGATCAAGTATCAGGACAGAATCCTTTAGGTGACGATGATTATGGTATCATAAGGTGTGGGCTAGTCATCAAAAAGGCCAAGGACCAATCCTGAACAAGTAATTGGAGGAAATCCAACATAAATGGGGTGAGAATGGATCTGAACCGAGACAACTAGAATCAAAGGTTCAGAAGGGAATTGAAAAAGAAAATAAGAAAAGCAAAGACAGCATGAAAAACTAACATATTATGAATCCAAAAATCTTAAATTGGCATATAAATACTAAAAAGTGGTTAAAGGAGGAGTGGAGTCAATTAGGGACCAAAAACAAGATTTACACGTGGAAGCAGGCTTGAGCATTAAGTGAATACTTTGCATCTGACTTTACCAAGGAATATGTTCCTGAACGATGAGATAATTCAGACAATTGCAGACTTAAAACTGATAAGCTAAGGTATTTTGTAGGCGGTCAGTACTTCCAGATGATAAAGCATTATAGGCAGATGTTGTGCAACCAAGGATGCTGAAGGAAGTGAGGGAAATTGCAGAGATGCTGCCCATAATTTACCAGTCTTACTAAGACTTGGCAGTGGACTGGAGAATTACAAATGTTATGCCAGTGCTCAAAAAGGGATGTAAAGGTAAACCCAACAACAACAAACCAGCGAGTTGAACTTTTGTGGTGGGAAAACTTCAAAAGCAATAATGCAAGACAAAAGTAATAGTTGATTAGGCGCATACAGGTTAATTAAGGAAAACCAGCATGGGCTAATCATGTTTAACTAAAATAAAAGCAAAATGCTGTGTGTGCTGGAGATCTGAAATAAAAATAGGAAGTGCTTGAAATGTTAACTCTGTTTTACTGTCCACAGATGGTGCCACACCCTTTGAGTTTCTCCAGCACTTCCGTTTTAGTTCCATTTTTATCTAAATTGCTGGGGTAATTTGTTGAATTAACAGAGGGTCAATGAAATTAACGTGTTTGTGTGCTGTACGTGAACTTCCAGAAAGCATTTCGGATATGAACATGTAACTCCAGTTCATGGAATAAAGGGGACAGGCACAACATTGATACAAGATTAGACAAATGATCGGAAACACTTTTCTTGATTTTATATTATTAACGTAAACTTGAGAATACAGGGAATGTATTCAAAATTTGCAGGTGATTCAAAAATTGCACCAATTGGAGGAGGACAGTGTAGAAGTCAAACAGTACAATAGCTTGGTAGAATGGTCAGACATGAGACAAATTTAATGTACTAAAGGTGAAATAATTCTTTGTGATAGGAAGTGCACAAATACACAATACAAAATAAAGGATGCAGCTGTAGAGGGGATGTAGCACTGGGTGTATATGCACATAAATAATTGGAGGAGATAAGAGATTGAGGATGCATATGTTCCATTAATAGAGACAGAATACATGAGCAGGTAGGTAAAATTGATCGCTACTTTGGCCTTAGCCGGAGTATCGTATGACAAAAACAAAGTGCTGGAGAAAGGTCTGGCAACATATATGAAGAGAGTGTTTCAAGTGCAGTATGACTTCTTTGGAGCAGTGAGACTTGCTGAATTTCTCCAGCACTTTATTTTTGTTTCAGATTTCCAGCATTCACAGAGTTTTGTTTTTATTGGAGTAATGTGTACCATTTTGAGTGTCACAGTTTGGGAAGGATGTGAAGACATTGGAGAGAGTAAGAAATTATTCACTAGAATGGTTCCAGCGATATGCTTCAAGGAAAACTGAAGCTCAGCAAGTTGTGAGGTGATTTTATTTAGGAATTTACAATCTTGAGGTGTCTGGACTGAATAAATGGAGAGAATCTCCTTTCATTTTTGTAAGAATTAAAAACAAGATGACACAGATTTAAGGTGATAAACAAAAAAAAAGCCATTGTAACATGAAAACTTAGTTCATGCAGCAATTGGTTAGGATCTGGAATGCACTGAGAATAGAATAAAATCCCTACAGTGTGAAAGCAGGCCAGTCGGCCCGTCAAGTGCACAACAACCCTCCGAGCATCCCTGTAACTCTGCATTTCCCATGCCCAGTCCACCTAACCTGCACATCATCGATAGATGGTAGGGGGAAACTAGAGCACCTGGAGGAAACTCGCACAGACGCGGGGAGAATGTGCAAACTCCACACAGACAGTTGACCGAGAGTGGAATCAAACACCTGTCCCTGGTGCTGTGAGGCAGCAGTGCTAACCACTGATCCACCGTGTCGCCCTACACAGCCTGAGATAGTTGTGAAGGGCGGTGCAATTAAGGTTTTCAGAGCAAAATTGCTCATTTTTCAGATAATAATCAATGTGCAGTCACAGGGAGTAGGCAGGGCATTGATAGTACATGAATTGTTCTTTTGGACAACTTTTACGGATGCATTGGGCCACAGAATTTGTGATTCTGTGAAGTTGTAGTGATTGAAGTGCACTGCCTAAAAGGGTAGTAAAAGCAGATTCTATTGTAACATTTAAAAGAAATTGGAGGAATACATAAGGGGAAAAGTGTATACAGGTCTATGGAAAAGACCAAGGCAATTTGATTGATTGGATGTCTCTACCAAAGAGCAAACCCAGTCACAATAGACTAAATGTCCTCCCTCCTATTGATCTATGTGAATACATAGGCAATAAGATGTATTTATGGAATAGCTTGCCCAGAGTGGTGGTGGGAATAGAGGATATTATAAATTCTGGAAGAATAATATATCATGTTTAGATAGAATGTGTAAATCAAGGAAAATTGTAAATTGAATAAGAAATAAGTGATGGTTGAATTTAATAGCAGATCACTAGCAATCATTGTGTCCTGAAGTTTCTGTAAATATTTTGCTGAAAAACTGGTGTGGGCCCTATTTCTCTGTTGCCTTCCTCAGGAAATGGTATTACAGTTGGGAAGATGGTTAAGGAGAAGGATGCTCACCAACCTGTACATCAATGAGCCTTTACTCACCTGTTAGGACATTTATATCTGATGAGTAACCCCTTTCTTAAACCCTTGCTTACATTGAACCTGTTTTGTATCTATTTTACCTGTTTTAGGATGGTCTTAGCGAGCTGTACTTGCCTTTGTTGTTCCTCCTGCTTCTTTTCCATAAACCCTAACTCTAAAACCTTCTTTGTCTCTTGCATCCTCGGCACTTAAAATTGGCTCAGTGTCTTGCTTCCCCACAGAGTGTGCAGGCTTTTAAAATCTATTTTTGTTGGTGGTTCTTTAACATCTTGAAGATCATCATCTGTCGTTGAGCAGTTTTTTTATTCTTTGGGATATGAGTGTTACTGAGAAGGCCAACATTTGTTGTCCATCCTTACTTGCCCTTGAACTGAGTGGCTTACTGGGCCATTTCAGAGCACAGATAAAAGTCAAACACATTGCTGTGGATCTAGAGTTGCATGTGAACTAGATCAAGAAGTTTTTAGCACATTTCCTTCTCTGAAGGGCATTGACGAACCAGATGAGTTTTCACAATAATCAATGCAAGTTGTCATTGTCACCATTATTGAGACTACTTTATATTCCAGGTTAATTAATATAATTTAAATTCCATCTGCTGTCCCATTTCCTCAGATCAGTAGTCTCTGCTTCTGGATACTCGTCCATTGACACTACAGTTATCCACTGCCATCTTCCTGAAGTATGATGTGAAAGATGTTTTTAATAACATTCACTTCAGTTGCACATTGCAATCCACTAGATGAGCATCCGTGGCTTTCCCCAAGTGATCTTTCTATCCAATGGGAGAACAGTACTCTGGTGAATTATAATGTATGCTGTATTATTTGAAATCCTGTAGTTTGGGATGTTTGTTGGGATGTTAATTCCTTCACCTTTCACTCATGTGGAATCTAGCAATTGAGTTACTGAGTTACTGCTCTCTCGATACCCTATTAATATCCTCATGGAGTCTGTAATATGTGCAAAATTAATGTAATTGGGTATAACTAATCTCGTACTGGTGTCAGATGGTGTTTTAAAAACTACAGAAATCTCATTAATCATATGCTGTTATTGCTGTAAAATGTAACCTTTTTACTTACCCTCTATAATCTGTAATTCTGCGCCTGTGCCATGTGACCATGATTTGGATTGAGGTGTCAGTTATAATCATGATTACCAATCTTGTTTGCCAATTGTTCTGCCCCACAACTGAAAGTCAACTTTTAGTTTCTTTACTTCAGAGCGACCTCAGGCGGAATATCACAAAAAGGTGAGTACTGAGCACTAAAAGGTTGTGATATTGGTTGCATGTTAGTCATTGTGTAATGTCGTATATGACTTGTGTTACAGTCATCTTCACAATAACTGCATCCTTGTGAAATTTGCCTTCCCGTATGTCCAGAAATTGCTGAAGAGAATTTTATTTTGTTGGCTTGTGTTTAAAAACAAGTTCCTTTTCTCTAAGATATGGTAATAGAAAGAGAGTGATGTTTTAAATGATATTACATAGTATTACAGCACAGAAACAGGCCATTTGACCCAACTGGTTTAGGACAGTGTCATGCCTCACATGATCCTCCTCCCGTTCCTCTTCATTTAACCCAGTCGATAAGTCCTCTTATTTCTTGCTCCCTCAGGACTGCATCTAGTTTCACCTTAAATGCATCTGTGCTTTTTGTCTCAGCTACTTCATGCAGTAATGAGTATCACATTCTGACCACCGAGTAAAGAAGTTTCTGAATTCCTTATTTGATTTATTGATGACTATCTTAGGGGACCCTAAGTTTTGTTCTTCCCTAGATAAAATCATGAAATGGATCAGAATTCTAAACACATCTGTAAAAACACCCTTCAGTCCTCTCTAGAAAAGAGAAGAGCCCTTGCTGATTCAAAATTTCCTTCCAAGTACATATCCTCTCTGTTTTACTATAGTCCAAGTCTATATTTTCCCATTTTTCCATTATGCGTTAAGGTTAAAGCTATGCTTAATCTCCAAGGAATTTGATTCACCTGGAACCATTTCTAAAAACATATTTTAAAGTATGTAAATTATCATCCTGTTGAGTGGTGAGGTTTTTGATTTGTGTTTTAGAAAGAGAGCATGATGCCAGTAGCTCTCAAATCTGCATAGCAGCCTTCAACTCGCTCTAAAATTTTCCATTTGATGAGTTGTGGCTGCCTGTCACTCTTACGGATCCCATCTGTCTCTAAGTATTACAAATAAGTGATCAAGGCACTATGAAGAGCCCTTTATAACGCATCACCAGTAAGGGCAGCCATGAACTGAAGGCACAATGTTTGCATTCATTATGAGATGCTGAGGTTCAGCTTGAGATGTGGAGCTTGCTAGAGGCTCATCATTTGCTTACAGAGAAAATTTCAGAAATGGCATTGAAAGTAGGAGCAGAAGTAGGCCTTTGGTCTTTCAAGCCTGCTCAGCCATTCATCCAGCTTTATGCTTTGATCCCTTTGGCCCTAACAAGTATATCTAACTCTTCCTTGAAAACATTGTGGTTTGTCCTCAACCTCTCATTCATTTTTTGTCAGTTCTACTTCTAGCTTCATCTTAAATTCATGGGTGCTTTTTGTCTCAGCTACTTCATGCATCAATAAGTTTCACATTCTGACCACTGAATAAAAAGATTTCTGTGGTAGATAATTCCAAAGGCTCACCACTCTGGTGAAGAAATTCCTCCTTATCTGTTCTAAATGGCTTATTCCGTATCCTTAGACTGTGACCCTTGGTTCTGGACTTCCCAGTCATCAGGAACATCCCATGTTAACCCAGCTAGCCCTGTTAGAACTTTGTAGCTTTCTACGAGACCCCTCTGCATTCTCCTAAACTCCAATGAATATAGTTCTAACCTATCGAGTCTCTCCCATGTATCAGTCCTGCCATCTTAGGAATCAGTCTGGTAAACCTTTGTCGCACTCCCTCCATAAGCAGAGCATCCTTCCTCAGATAAGGAGGCCGAGACTGCATGCACTACTCCAGGTGTGGTCTGACCAAGGCCCTGATCCATTGTAGCAAGCCATCCCTGCTCCTGTACTTGAGTCATCTAGCCAGGAAGGTTGGTGTTTGCCGCCTTCGTTGTCCGCTGCACCAGTGACTGGTATACAAGGGTACCCAGGTCTCATTGCACTTCCTTGTGTCCCAATCTGTTGCCATTCAGGTGATGATCTTCCTGTTTTTGCTACCAAAATGGATAATCACACATTTGTCTACATTATACTTCATCTGCCGTGCATTTGCCCACTCACTCAACTTGTCCAAATCGCACTGAAACAACTGCATTCTCTTGACCGCTTACTCTCCCAATCAGCTTTGTGTCATCTGCAAAATTAATGAGGTCATTTGGCCGCACACTGTTTAGCACACTGCTATCCATATATAGAATTTGGCAGCAAAGACTTCAGGATTTTCCAGATTTTTATTGCAAATCTGTAGTTCAGCACAAACACCCTTCTGTTCTGTGCTCTTTTGCTGTTCAGAAGCTAACCTGAATAGTGGAAGAAGTCAGTTTTTCTTTATAAAAGAAACCAAATTACAAATGACAAGAACCCAGCTCTCTCTCAACCAAATCATCAAATCACCCAAGAACCAAGAATTAGGGGAAGATGAGGAAGGGTGACTAAATCAGTGTGTGTTGGTAAGGGCAGTAGTGCACTGCAGTCCCCTCAGTGTCCATCTATCCCAAAATGCTTCAAGCTTACCAGTAAACATGTTATGTTGTCTCTCCAAGGCCACCCAGGCAAAGAACCCAGCCTGTTTTTTTTTTGTGTTTTAACCAATGTGTTTGAACATGTCACAACCCCCCTTCAGAACAGGTAGGACTTGAAGCTGAACAATCTGGTCCAGAGGAGAGATGACTACCGCACCACAAGAACCCCTGAATTCAGCTGATTTTATTTTCTTAACCAATCAGTTCAAGATTTTATTACATTTCTCAGGAGGCTTCCTGGCTCAGAGGTGGGAAGCGCTATCATTATGCCATAGGATCCAAAACGCCAGTGTTATTTTTATAGAAATTTTAATCAACCTTTTATGACATGTGGCTCTGGAGCAGATATAACCTGAACCCAGTTTCAGGTTATATCTGAGAGGTAGGCACACTACCACAATGCCATTAAGAGCCCTCCAGCAAGCCCAGCCCTTGATATTTTCTAATTAACCTGTTCAGAGGTATTATTACACACCTCTGGAGTCCATAAGAATTAAACCCAGGCGTCCTGGCTCAGAGGTAGCAACACTACCACCACATCATAGGCGTGCTGCAAACTTGAATTTTTTTTTCTCTTCAGAGATGCTATTACACCTCTTGGACGGAATTTTTTAACACCCACCAAATCACCCATGTGTAACCTGAGCTCTTTCAGATTTTTTTTTTTTATTCACCTTGTTCAGGGTTATTCCGAATTTTTTTCTTTTTTTTTCTATCCAGAGATGCTGTTACACGCTTCTGGTCACTTTTCTTTTTGACCACCACCAACTCTTGTGTGTCTAACTGAATCCAGCTTTTTAATAAATACAAAGGACATTACCTACTCTTAATCAGCTTAAAGGGACCTGAGTTTTTAACATTGACAGTACCTCCCAATGTCCAGGTTATTTGCAAAAAGTGCTATCAAGTAAAGAATGGTGGACAGCCATTGATGCTCACTTCCCACAAGTGAATGAAAACAAACTGAGGGTGGTGGGGAAGGTGACATGTGTATCACAGTGTAGCAGGAAAATTGCTTAATATCGAACAAACTTCAAAATCCATTAAATCAAGATCTGACCTTTGCTGTATAGCGTTGACTTAACTATGGGAAAATATGACCGTTTCTCGTTAAGTTGCATTTCAAGTTGCAGGTTAACATTTAATATTGTATGCCACAATTTGGGAGGATACAGCAACCTATGTACAAACATCTGTGTAGAGACCCTCACTGCTGCTCCATGGCTAAGCTGCTTTGGAGCAATGTTATCCTTATTCTCATGGCAATTTGAGATCAGAAAGATAATTTACAAACTGGATTCAAACTCCTGTTAATGAGCGAAACTGTGTACGAATAGCAACGCAACATGTTCCTCACTGTTTTCTCTTCCCCACCCCTTCAATCATCCATTTTAAACCATCTGTATTTTACCTCCCCTCCTCAGAATTGTAAATTACTGGATGTGAATACACAGCCCCATAGAACCTTGCACAAGTTTAAATGTAAACAGGACCTGCCAAAATTGCAACTACCGGGGCAACATCAGTCTTGGGTTAATCCTACTTTAACCAAATGAGGGGAGGTCCCTGGATGATGCTTGGAAATATGTGCATTGTATGTAATGCAGTGTCTGTGCAGTGTGTCTGCTGCATGGCTTTTGAGTTAATTATGTAGTGCTGTCATTCATGAGTTCAGCAATTTTCCAGTATTATTTGTGGTTTGTCTTTGCCTCAGAAATTACTGCATTTGACAGTGGAGGTGAAATGTAATCAGGTACATGGAGAAACTGATAGCCGATTTCCCAAATTTCTAAACTAAAGGGAGTTAAGAGAATAAAACCATGTGCTTGGCTAAAGAAGCTGCTATTGGTAAGCAATATACCAAAGGATTGGAGGTCTGCAAATATTGTGCCATTATTTTAAAAAGGTGCGTGGAATAACAAAATAATTCTCTGTCTTTCAATCTGATCTTGTGGATGATGTAAGCTATTTAAAAAGACCCATGGTTTTGGAAGTCATGTGCTAGCATGATGTGGTGGTGCTGGTGTTGGACTGGGATGGACAAGGTCAGAAACCACACGACACCAAGTGAAGGAGTGACGCTCCGAAAGCTTGTGTTTTCAAGTAAACCTGTTCAACTATAACCTGGTGTCATGTGATTTCCGACCTATGCTAGCAAGGATGGAGGATTAGCTAATTAATAGAAAGAGTTGGGATAAGCAGAAGGCATTTTGAAAACGAAAATCTGCAATTCGTGCAACTGGGATCCGTGCCTAGGTCACAATATATTTACAACATATTTAGGTGACGTGAGTGAAGGAGGTGAAAGTACTATAGTCCAGTTTATGAATGACACAAAAAGTAGGTGAGCAGACAAGTGGTGGAGGTGACACAAATCATTTGCACAGAGATACCGAGAGGTTAAGCAGATGTACAAACACTTGTCAAATGGAATATAATGTGGAGAATAGAGGAGCTGAACGTTAACTAAATGGAGAAAGAGTGGATATGGAAGAAACACGGATATGAAAGTCCTTGTGCATAAATTGCAAAATGCTAGCATACAAGA